GTGTATATATATATATATATATATATATATACACACACACACCTCACTGGGTAAGCAGCCAGTGGTTTTACAGAAACATCCTATATCTACAGTGAGCATTATATAGTTACTTGAAACTACTGCAGGTTTGAGGCAAAGCATACTTGATCAGACAACACCCACCACAAGGTGGGATCTGTAAAGTAGATGTGAAGATTAGAGAAGCTGAAAAACCAACAACATAAAATAAATGGAGTGATCATACTTACCCCAGTCAAAGGCAAATGGATGTGTGTAGAATCGCCACAATATCCACAAGAGGAAGAAACAGCCAGGTCATGCAGATAATGAGCAACAAAAGTATTAGAATGGCGAAGGGGAGCAACCAAAGACATAGTAATGTGACAAATTTGATGCAAAGAGAGGTTGTAGAGATAGCAACCTTCCGTTTACAAGTACAAATATACCAGTCTTACAAGTTAACGAACCCAACTAGTGAAACAGTTGACAGATCACGGAAAACAGAAAAGTTCCAGGAAATAAACAGTTGGGAATGTGAACCCTGAATGAAAGCAGTATGAGCCACATAACACCTTAAGAAGTGAACCAAATAAAGAAGCCTATTCAGATCTGAATGGGAGTACAGGTTGGAATTTGAAGGTAAGGAAATGGGTGAGAAAGCCAAACCACCTTCCCAGGCAGCATAGGTCTTGGGAAGGAAGGACTGGTCTGGGTAAAAGATAACATAAGAGGAACTGTAAAGGGTGTGGGAAACATTAACGAGATAAATATCTGAATGATGATGACCACAATCAAGGAAGTAGGTCTTAAGGATAAAATGGTACAAGGAACATGCAGCAAGAGGTTCAAAGAGTGGAAAGAAATGGGTCAAAGCCCGATGAAATGCCAAGAGCTCAAGGATGTTGACATGGAGTGCAGACTCCTTGACTGATCATAGACTTGACTGATCTTGAGATTTGAGGAAAGCCCCCAACACACCAAAGATGCATCTGTGAACAGATGTGACTCTGGAAGAGGTGGAGGAATGGGAACCCCAACTGTGGTCTGGTCCCTGTTGAGCTACCAAGAAAGGTCAGCCCTGATCATGGAAGGAAGGATAACAGAATGGTCCAAGGGATCCAAGAAGTTCCACTAAATTGAGGAGTGTTCATGGTAGTGAATGCATGTGAGCTTGACCCCTGGGAATGAGAGCTTCCAAGGAAGTCCATATCCCTAAAATAGACAGAACTTCTTGAGCTGTGAGAAAATGAGAGGTAAGCACATTTGTGACTGCTTTCTTCATATTCCTGAGATAAAGAGGAGAGCACTGGGCCTGACTGAGGTGTGAATTGAAGAAAACCCTCATATAAACCAGGTATTGTGTGGGGGTAAGAATAGACTTCTCCAACTTGATCAGAAAACCAGTGCTGCTTCTGGGAGAAGTAAACATGTGTGATCTTCTGACTGAGCATGGGAAAAGATGAGCAGGAACCAGTCATCCATATAATGGGGAGTTTGAAAACCCAATAAGTGAAGGAAACAAGCAAATGGGAGTACCACTCGACAAAACACATATGGAGCCAATGAGAGACCGATTGGCAGTGCCCTGAGCTAGAACACACGACCCTATGAGCCATAGTGGCTTACAGTAAGGTCCTGAGTTCATCCAAAAAGGCTTCAGGAGATTAGCAAAAGGCCTCAGACATTAAGTGGAGGGAAGAAAGATAACATAAAAGGGTGGTAAAAACAAGATGAATCCTGGAAAACTGCACCTGATTAAAGTGAACTGATGCCCAGGGATTCGAGCCCCACAGAGGAGGGAGTGAATCCAAATGTTGAGAATATAAAAAAAGAATAGTTCATGAGTTACCTAAAATATATAAATTGTCCTATTAGACCAATTGTGTCATGTACAGGTACTTTCACATATACATTAGTGGTTTTTTTCGAATTTCATTTAACTAATGAATTTATGGTAAAAATTGTTATGAATTTTCTAAATATGTTTCTAAACTAGCTTTTGACAAACCTATCTATATTGCTAGTTTAGATTTGAGTCTTTACATACAAATTTACCATTAAATAGTAATTTAATTTTTCAAACTTTTTATGTTATTATGGGTATAATAAAACTTGTTTCCATTACGTTATTAGAATCTACTACAAAAAATATAATGTTTCTTCTAATGGTTGTCGTTATGAACAACTTGATGGAGCATCTATGGGTTCAAAAGTTGAACCAGGCTTAGCTAATTTGTTTTTAACTCTTTCAGTAAACATTACAATGCTTTCATACACAAAATATTTCATTTTCAAGTCTTAAGGTTTTTAAGGAAGATGTTTTTCTCATGCTTTTTTTTTCTTTTCGCATGTTGCCTATCCAACATACAAAGTAGTTTTCATTTTAAGATTAAAAATACTTTTCTGCATCAGAAAAATTTTTAAATTTCACATGCAAAATCTATATAATGTCCAGATAGGTATCAAACGTTTCTTAAGAAAAAACTTTATATTTTATCTGTTATTTTCACTAATTAATCTCTGTATGGGTTCAGTAGATTTGACCGATCTCGTAATCATCATAAAAAATTATAAAATAAATATAAATTATGCCTCTTTCATTCTAGAATGACAACAAATTAAAAC